CAATCACCACATTAACACTGACAAAGAAACAGCAAGAAATACTGTTTACCCACAAGCATAAAGACATTACATATATTAGAAACATAACGCTTTCTAATTACTTTATTTTCCAGATCACCAGACTGGGCCACAGCAACACATGGCAGGGGATGGCTAGTTACATTATAATATTATAAATATTATATGTATATACAATATATTATATTGCATTATATTATTTAGAAATAAAACTTGGGATAATTTGTGATTTTGAACAGTTGCTTGGCTGTAGACTTGTAGCAGTTGATCATGTATGGTTGTGTAGTTTTTCAGTGTATATATTGAAAAAATCCAGTTGTGTGCTTTGTTTCCTTTCTTGAATAAAAATGACTCTTAACCTTGCTTTCCCTCACATTTTAGTCTGACAAAGCCTGTTGGTCAAACCAAAAGCTTACACACCTTTGCATTGCCTGAGGCATTGTCGATTCAGCATTTCTTGCTGTTGCATGCCTTCAAGATGTTTCAAGTAGAGGGTGACCCCGAAGCAACCCTATCGTGGGTTTCTTGGGGGGAAGATATGTTCAGAGATGGCCTTTGGCTTCTTCAGGCTGGATCTACAGGTCCCTGTATCCCAGGTTCTGATTCCAGATTATCTGCTTTGAATTGGATTATATGAGTCTACACTGCCAGACAATCTGGGATAAGCAGATAATCTGGGATCAGACCTGAAGATATAGGGCAGTGTAGATCTAGCCTAAGAGGCTGAGCGAGTGCAATTTGCCAAAGATCACCCAGTGGGTTTCCATGCCCAGAAGGATTCAAATTCTGGCCTCAAGACAATGATCAAATCCAATGATCAAATCACTCCATCATGCTTGCTCCCAATGATGACCCAGGCTTCTGAATAAAAAGAGGTACAAAAACTCCTCTTTGGCACAGTTGAGGGCTTCTGGATATGGCCATCTGTCGGGAGTGCTTTGATTGTTTGTTTCTGCATGGTAGAATGGAATTGATCTAGGTGACCTTTGGGGTCCCTTCTAACTCTATGGACCTCATCAGATTAGAACAGTGGTTCGCAACCTTGGGTCCTCCACGTGTTTTGGACTTCAGCTCCCACAATTCCTAACAGCTTGGGGACCTTGGCACACCTAGCCCCCATGACCCTCTCTACATCCTGGTGCAGTTTGGAGGAGGATGGACCATGGATGATAAGACTTGAAGTACCTCCACTCACTTCCCGAGACTGCTGCGACTCTCATCCAATGACTGATCAAGACCAAACTTGGCACACAGAGCCCCCAGGACCCATTCTACATCCTGCTGCAGTTTGGAGGAGGATGGACCATGGATGATGGGACTTGCAGTACCTTCACTAACTCCCTGAGAGCACTGTGAGCCACATAAATAACTGATAAAGACCAACCTTGGCACACAATGCCTTTCTCAAATAACCCGGGCATCGCCAAGGTTGTGAACCACTAGCCTAGAGTAAGTATAAAGCACATGTGTATAACTCAAGACCCTTAGGCCGAATCTGGGCCTGTCATATCATTTTATGTGGCCCTCCAGATGCTGGACTACAACCCCTGTCTTCCTCATCCTTAGACATTACTAGAGCTCATGGGAGGCGTGATACAGTAACCCCTGCAAGACTGCAGTTTGTTCTGCTATAGTTAGGAGAGTTAGGATTGGATACAAGGCTTCTGGTTATGGTGCCTGACTTCAAAATAGCCTTTAACCTTTTCCTAACCTCGGGGCCACAAGGGCTGTTGGATTGCAATTCCCATCATCTCCAATCCACAGTAACAACATTTGAAATTTTTCATTTCCTCAGCTAAAAGTGTGATTTCCTGTTTAATTGTGTGGCACTCACTTTGAAATTAGTTGTTATTCTTCAAAAACTTGGGGGTTTTGTGTGGCTGACACAAACTATGTTGAATTGGTTGAGGCTTGATGAGATATTCATCGAAAAGCTATAGCAAAATGTGCTGCAGGAAGTCTCGCAGAAACAAAATTTTTGAGGTTTAATAAACTTTTGTCCATATTTTATTGATATATCTCATTAGGAAATGACATTTATAACCCAGGAACAAAAAAAATCATGTTACTGGGGCCCACACAGCTGAATAAAATCCCACATTTTCTGCTTTGAACTGAAATACATCTTCTTCCTCTTCCTCCTCCTCCTCCTCCTCCTCCTCTTCTTCTTCTTCTTCCTCCTCCTCTTCCTCCTCCTCCTCCTCCTTCTTCCTTCTCCTCTTCTTCCTCCTCCTCCTCCTCCGCTTCTTCTTCCTCCTCCTCCTCCTCTTCTTCTTCTTCCTCCTCCTCCTCTTCCTCCTCCTCCTCCTCTTCTTCTTCTTCTTCTTCCCCCTCCTCCTTCTTCTTCTTCCTCCTCCTCTTCTTCCTCCTCCTCCTCCTCTTCTTCTTCCTCCTCCTCTTCTTCTTCCTCCTCCTCCTCCTCCTCCTCTTTCTTCCTCTTCTTCCTCCTCCTCCTCCTCTTCTTCCTCCTCCTCTTCTTCCTCCTCCTTGTTGTTGTGTGCTTTCAAGTCGTTTCAGACTTAGGTTGACCCTGAGCGAGGGCCGGGTAAATGACCTTGGAGGGCCGTATCTGGCCCCCGGGCCTTAGTTTATATGACTTCCCTGGATCTAGACACTATACTCCTATAAGGCCGACCGAACTCTGTACCCGATTATTTCCATCAGTGCCTCGAGGCCGTTACTGGATGGCTGCGTGCCAGCAGGTTGAGGGTGAGTCCAGCAAAGGAGATCCTATGGCTGGATCAACCGGGCAGTGGGGATATCCAGCTGCCCACCCTGGATGGTGAGGCGCTATGCCCATCATCATTGGTAAACAGTCTGGGAGTCCTTTTGGACCCTCTGCTGATGATGGAGGCCCAGGTCTCCGCCGTTAGCAGAACCGCTTTTTTTCATCTGTGGCAGGCTAGACGGCTGGCCCCCGACCTGTCCAGGGACGACCTAGCTACGGTGATCCAGGCTGGACTACTGTAACGCCCTCTACATTGGCCTTCCTCTGTCGGTGATCCGGAAGCTCAAGTTGGTACAAAATGCAGCTGCTCGGCTTCTTGCGGGAATTCCGATGAGATGCCACATAACCCCAATCTTACTACAGCTGCATTGGTTACCAATTGAGCACCGGATCACTTTCAAAGTGATGGTACTCACCTTTAAGGCCTTGCATGGTCTGGGGCCGATGTACCTGAGGGACCGCCTCACCCCCTACCAACCCCAGAGATCCCTCCGTTCTGAGGACCAAGATCTATTGGAAGTCCCCAGTGTCAAGACCTTGCGTCTAACAGCAGAGGCGGCCCTAGGTAATTTTCAATGGTAAGCAAACAGTATTTTGGTACCCCCGCCCCAACCAATCATTGATATATATTTTCTGTTCGTCATGGGAGTTCTGTGTGCCATATTTGGTTCAATTCCATCATTGGTGGAGTTCAGAATGCTCTTTGATTGTAGGTGAACTATACATCCCAGTAACTACACTTGCCGCACTTGCTCCCTTGCCTGGCCCGCTTTGGGTCCGGAGGCGTGCCTGAAGACCCCGGAGTGTGCACCAAAAGTCACCTCTTCTCCTGACTTTCTCCTCAGCCATTGGGACCGAGAGAGAGAGAGAGAGACAGAGGTGGAGATGCCCACCTTTCCTGAAGGTAGGCGCAAAAACAAAGGAGGGAGTGGAGGTGGGAGATACCTCCAGCTGGAGGGGCTCTCTCTCTCTCTCTCTCTCTCTCTCTTGGTCCCAATGGCTGAAGAGAAAGTCAGGAGAAGAGGCGACTTTTGGTGCGCACGCTGGGGTCTTCAGACACGCCTCCAGACCCAAAGCGGGCCAGGTGCGGCGGCTCCGCCCCTTGGCCCACCCGCGGATTGGGGAGAGGAGAGGAGGCGGGTGGAGCGCCGGGGGATCGGGAAAGGGAGCCAGTCATGGGGAAGGGATTGAACGCAGAGAACGATTGAGCACCGGCTCTGCTCGCGCACCTGGTGGCCAGGTGGAGCAGGAACGAGAGGAGCAAGGCGAGGCTCAAGGGCCCGGCCCCTTTGGGAAGAGGCTCGCCCGGCAGCGAGGCAAGAAAGCCAAGGCTCCCCCCAGACTGCTAGGGCTGTTGTGAGCTGAGGGGGCGCTCCTCAAGTGGCAGTCGAGGGGCATTTACAGAGGTGCCTCTGCGCCCCTGGCAAAAAAAGTGTTCTGCGACCGCTTACTTCGCATAATGGACGAGCCGCCCCTGTCTAACAGCAACCAGATGCAGAGTCTTCACAGCAGTGGCACCATCGCTCTGGAATACTCTGCCACCTGAAGTCCGTGCCTTGCGGGACTTACCAGCTTTCCGCAGGGCATGTAAGACATACCTGTTTCGACAGGCCTTTGATTTTTGATATTGCTGTTTTTAAATTGTTTTAAATTGTTGTTCGATTTTAGCCTGTTCTTGTAAGCTGCTCCGAGCCAGAGGAGAGTGGCGGCATATAAGTTTGAATAATAAATAAATAAATAAAAAATTTCCATCCAGCCTGTGTCAGCTTTGTTTAGCATCCCTTCCACCACATGTCTCAATTGGTTCGCCTCATAATAACTTTTGATTTCGGGTAGTCCTAGTCCTCCTTCTTTCTGTAGTTTGTACCAGTAGCATTTATTTATTCTATTCTTTTTCCCGTTGTTAGAAAATGTATTTGTGTTGGCTCATTGTTGTCTACAAGGACCTTTTTCCAGATTATCTGCTTTGAGCTGGATTATATGAGTCTACACTGCCATATAATCCAGCTCAAAGCAGATCATCTCCATTGTACAGGGCAGTGCAGAAGGGGACTGTGACACCCTGATTGCCTTGGAGTTGACAGGCGCCTCCCTAAAGGACCAAGCTCAGAATTCTGCACAGGATTTAAAGGGGCCGCCGCACTCTTCCTTCCTTCTCTGCTCCTGCTGGAAGGACCTGGGAGCGGTGCCTGGGGTTTGGGGCCCATCGCTGGGAGGCGACAAAGTCCTTTTTCCCAGCCGGGGAAATGCAGATTCCTGCATTCCAAAGCAGGGGAGGAATCCCAGGGAGGGAGGGAACCCAGTGAGGTTCAACTTAGAGAGAGACGGCAGTCCCAAGCAAGGAGCTCAGCTTCGTGGGCAGGACGCGAGTGGGTGGTTTGGCAGAGGAACACCCTCCCCCCATCCCCGCCTCCTCCTCCTCCTCCTCCAGCCCAGGCTCGCTTGCTTCTCCATCACTCTGCTTCGGAAAATGCAGCAAAGCCTCGACGGGACGCCTCCGTGGGCAACGCGCGAGATTCCATCCCCAGTGGGTTTCAATCGCTGTGTTTTCCTTCCTGCCTCCCTCCAGCTGGTAAGTGATGCCCTGGTTTTGGAAGGGGAGGCTGGGTTTGGTGGGCAAAGGGGGCCACCAGGGGAAAGGCATCTATAGTACAGTGTGACAGCCCTTGAACTGCCACAGTTCAGGGAGTTCAAGTTCAGGCATCCTGGGAGTGCTAGTTTGGCGAGGCACCAGCACTCTTTGGCAGGGAAAGCTACAGACTTTGAAGAACCACATGTCCCATGGTTCCCTAACACTGAATCATAGAATCATAGTTGGAAGAGACCTCATGGGCCATCCAGTCCAACCCCCTGCCAAGAAGCAGGAAAATTGCATTCAAATCACCCCTGACAGATGGCCATCCAGCCTCTGTTTGGTGCATTGATTCCAAATTTAGAATCATAGAATCAAAGAGTTGGAAGAGACCTCATGGGCCATCCAGTCCAACCCCCTGCCAAGAAGCAGGAATATTGCATTCAAATCACCCCTGACAAATGGCCATCCAGCCTCTGCTTAAAAGCTTCCAAAGAAGGAGCCTCCACCACACTCCGGGGCAGAGAGTTCCACTGCTGAACGGCTCTCACAGTCAGGAAGTTCTTCCTAATGTTCAGTGGAATCTCCTTTCTTGTAGTTTGAAGCCATTGTTATGTGTCCTAGTCTCCAGGGCAGCAAAAACAAGCTTGCTCCCTCCTCCCTGTGGCTTTCCCTCACATATTTATACATGGCTATCATATCTCCTCTCAGCCTTCTCTTCTTCAGGCTAAACATGCCCAGTTCCCTAAGCCGCTCCTCATAGGGCTTGTTCTCCAGACCCTTGATCATTTTAGTCGCCCTCCTCTGGACACATTCCAGCTTGTCAATATCTCTCTTGAGTTGTGGTGCCCAGAATTGGACACAATATTCCAGATGTGGTCTAACCAAAGCAGAATAGAGGGGTAGCATTACTTCCTTAGATCTAGACACTATGCTCCTATTGATGCAGGCCAAAATCCCATTGGCTTTTTTTGCCGCCACATCACATTGTTGGCTCATGTTTAACTTGTTGTCCACGAGGACTCCAAGATCTTTTTCACACGTACTGCTCTCGAGCCAGGCGTCACCCATTCTGTATCTTTGCATTTCATTTTTTCTGCCAAAGTGGAGTGTCTTGCATTTGTCACTGTTGAACTTCATTTTGTTAGTTTTGGCCCATCTCTCTAATCTGTCAAGATCGTTTTGAATTCTGCTCCTGTCCTCTGGACTATTGGCTATCCCTCCCAATTTGGTGTCGTCTGCAAACTTGATGATCATGCCTTCTAGCCCTTCATTGAAGCGATGGTCCTCTGCCATCAACTCCGCTGGACCGGCCACGTTGTCTGGATGCCCGACCACCGTCTCCCAAAGCAGTTGCTCTACTCCGAACTCAAGAACGGAAAACGGGATGTTGGTGGGCAGGAAAAGAGATTTAAAGATGGGCTCAAAGCCAACCTTAAAAACTCTGGCATAGACACTGAGAACTGGGAAGCCCTGGCCCTTGAGTGCTCCAGTTGGAGGTCAGCTGTGACCAGCAGTGCTGCAGAATTCGAGGAGGCACGAGTGGAGGGTGAAAGAGAGAAACGTGCCAGGAGGAAGGCGCGTCAAGCCAACCCCGTCCGGGACCGCCTTCCACCTGGAAACCAATGCCTTCACTGTGGGAGAAGATGCAGATCAAGAATAGGGCTCCACAGTCACCTACAAACCCACAAAAATAGTCATCAAGGAAGACCATCTTACTCGTCCAACGAGGGATCACCTAAGTAAGTAAGTAAAGTAAGTCCACATCCTAGTCTCCACGGCAGCGGAAAACAAGCTTGCCCCCTCCTCCCTATGACTTCCCCTCACATATTTATACATGGCTATCATATCGCCTCACATCCTTCTCTTCTTCAGACTAAACATGTCTAGTTCTTTAAGCCGCTCCTCATAGGGCTTGTTCTTGATCATTTTAGTCACCCTCCTCTGGACACATTCCAGCTTGCCAATATCTCTCATCAATTGTGATGCCCAGAATTGGCAGTTCTAGTTTGGTGTCATCATTTGCCTCATCAAACTAGAACTCCCAGGATTCTGTAGCACTCTAGCTACACTACCATATAGCACAGTTTCTGAATCCAGATGTGCTTTGAACCGCATTACATGGCAGTGTAGAATCATAGAATCAAAGAGTTGGAAGAGACCTCATGGGCCATCCAGTCCAACCCCCTGCCAAGAAGCAGGAATATTGCATTCAAATCACCCCTGACATATGGCCATCCAGCCTCTGTTTAAAAGCTTCCAAAGAAGGAGCCTCCACCACACTCCAGGGCAGAGAGTTCCACTGCTGAACGGCTCTCACAGTTCAGATGGAATCTCCTTTCTTGTAGTTTGAAGCCATTGTTCCGCATCCTAGTCTCCAGGAAGCAGAAAACAAGCTTGCTCCCTCCTCCCTGTGGCTTCCTCTCACATATTTATACATGGCTATCATATCTCCTCTCAGCCTTCTCTTCTTCAGGCTCAACATGCCCAGCTCCTTAAGCCGCTCCTCATAGGGCTTGTTCTCCAGACCCTTGATCATTTGACCCCTATGACTTCCCCTCACATATTTCTACAGGACCATCATGTCTCCTGTCAGCCTTCTCTTCTTCAGACTAAACATGTCTAGTTCTTTAAGCCGCTCCTCATAGGGCTTGTTCTTGATCATTTTAGTCGCCCTCCTCTGGACACATTCCAGCTTGCCAATATCTCTCATCAATCGTGGTGCCCAGAATTGGCAGTTCTAGTTTGGTGTCATCATTTGCCTCACCAAAACTAGAACTCCCAGGATTCTGTAGCACTGAAGATGCCACTCTATCTACACTGCCATATAGCACAGTTTCTGGATCCAGATGTGCTTTGAACTGCATTACATGGCAGTGTAGATTCTTATCATTCAGTTCAACGCAGATAGTGTGGATCGAGAAACAACTACACTATGTAACAAAATGTGAAAGTTCGATTTCCTGTTTAATTGTGTGGCACTTAGTTGTTGTAGGTTTTTTCGGGCTATATGGCCCTGTTCAAGAGGCATTCTCTCCTGACGTTTCGCCTGCATCTATGGCAAGCATCCTCAGAGGTTGTGAGGTCTCACAAACTCTGCCATAGACCCTCACAACCTCTGAGGATGCTTGTGATAGATGCAGGAAATGTCAGGAGAGAATGCTTCTAGAACATGGACATTAGGTCACAAAATTTTCTGTTCCTGATTTGAAAGTGTTATTTTCTGTTTAATTGTGCAGGACTTACTTTGAACGTAATGGTTCTACTCCAAAAACTTCATTTTTGGGGCTGCCACAAACTATGTTGAATTGGTTGAGACTCAGTGAGATATTCATTGAAAAACTATAGCAACATGGGCTGCAGGGTGTCCCGCAAAAAACAAATTTTTGCAGGTAGTCGAAGGCTTTCATGGCCGGAATCACTGGGTTGTTGTAGTTTTTTCGGGCTATATGGCCATGTTCTAGAGGCATTTTCTCCTGACGTTTCGCCTGCATCTATGGAAAGCATCCTCAGAGGTAGTGAGGTCTGTTGGAAGTAGGAAAATGGGTTTATATATCTGTGGAATGACCAGGGTGGGACAAAGGACTCTTGTCTGCTGGAGCTAGGTGTGAATGTTTCAACTGACCACCTTGATTAGCATTTAATGACTTGGAAGTGCCTGGGGGAATCTTTTGTTGAGAGGTGATTAGATGTGCCTGTTTGTGAAGTTTAAACAACCTTTTCCATATTTGTTTGATAGAACCAATTACAAACCCAGGAACAAAAGTCGTGTTACATAGTGTCCTTCCGCACAGCCATATAACTCAGAATATCAAGGCAGATAATCCACAATATCTGCTTTGAAATGGATTATCCACACTGTGATATAATCCAGTTCAATGTGGATTTTCTACAGTTGTGTGGAAAGGGCCATAGTGTGCTATGGCAGTGCAGATCCAGCCTGAGCAAAGTGAAGACCTTGAAGACCTTGAAACTTACCAAGGCTGCACAGGGTCAAACTCTTGAATCTCTACCCCTGAGCTTTCCAAACCGTTTATGTTTTTAGACCAGGATTCCTTAAACTTTTTCTGCTCATGACCATTTTCTGCTCAAGAAATTTCTACATGACCCTAGGTATATATAAAAGCTATAAAATCAAATATTCCCTGATAATAACTCAGCATTTACAAGGCTGATTTTCCTTTTTGTGGCGTACAGCTGAAGCATCTTCTGCCAATTCCACTGTAAACACTCTGTATTGTTGCAAATGGATTTGTGCAAATGGGTGGCGTTCAGAAGTCTTTGACTGTTTCCAAATGATTTGTGATCCCAACATTGAGCTAAAGGAACTCCACTTGGGGTCAGGACCCACAGTTTAAGAAGCAGCGTCATTTTGCTATAGTTGTTCCTACTTAATGGCAAATAATAATTATAATCTATGTAAATAAAAATGTAATGTTTGTTTGTGATACCATCAGAACTCAAAAACCACTGGGGGAATTGACACCAAATTTGGACACAAGACACCCAACATCCCAATGTATGTCCGTCACTCAAAAAAATTTGATTTTGTCTTGGGAATTGTCGTTGCTGAGACTTATAGTTTACCTACAATCAAAGAGCATTCTGAACTCCACCAATGATGGAATTGGGCCAAACTTTGCACACAGGGCTCCCATGACCAACAGAAAAAACTGGAAGGGTTTGGTGGACATTGACCTTGAGTTTGGGAATTGTAGTTCACCCACATCCAGAGAGCACTGTGGACTCAAACAATGATGGATCTGGACCAAACTTGGCACGAATATTCCACATGCCCAAATATGAACACAGATGGAGTTTAAGGGAAATAGACCTTGACATTTGGGAGTTGTAGTTGCTGGGATTTATAGTTCACCTACAATCAAAGAGCATTCTGAACTCCACCAATGATGGAATTGAACCAAACATGGCATACAGGACTTCCATGACCAACAGAACACACTGGAATGGTTTGGTGGGCATTGACCTTGAGTTTGGGA